CTAATAACTTAGAATTATATCTAGTTTTCCAATATATTTGTCTCCCCCTGCTGGTACTCAGAAAAAGCAGGCATATGGTCTACAACTGTTGTTAAACCTTCCTGACAAGTACAGGAAACAGCACAATATGAAGGTTTTCTCTTTCATCCCTGTTTATCCCACAATAATGTTTTGAAAGAAAGCAGTATTTTGTTTTGCACAGAATCTTCCCATGGTCTGAAATGGAAAATACATAGCTCTAATTTTCTTGGAAAGCTACATGAGGAAAGTAGGAAAACCTGAAATGTAAAAATTTCCTATTGTAACTTATTTGAGATCAGTGTTATTGGGGCTTGTAATTTGTTAACAGTCTTAGCACATTCTCTGCTGTGTCACAGAATAGTTACCGTTCGGCTATGGAAATGTTTTGGAGATTTCTTATTAATTAGAAAACTACTATGTTGATGGTTTCAGAAAAAGCCCTTACCTTTGGAATACACAGCTGTGTTGCTAAAACTTAGGCATCAATTAGGCCATCGAGGGTAGAAATCCTCTATAAACGCTGGTGTTCTTTCAAGACAAAGGATTTGGGTATAAAGTCTCTGTTCTAAGTTTCAGTGAATTTGAGCTTTTAAGTAGTCTGTCTTGACTCAGAGGTTCTGCAGCCATAGCAGAACCTTGTCACTAAGTGTACGTGGAGAAGAAAGTACTTCATTGCTTCTAAGAGTTTCTTTAATTAATGTAAGAAAGAGCAATTGGAAATATTTTTATGCCTTCTTGTAATTGTTGAATTTATATTAAGAAAATCCTATGAATGAGGAGCATGCATATGAAACTTTTTTATTTATCAGATGTTCCCGTGGTTCAGCCAATTTTTGTTTTTATTGTTGTAGGTATATATCTTTCAAAACAGTTAGAATTATGAATTTTTACCATAGTGAACAAAGGAGAAATTATTATGTCTTATTACTACTATTTTCCATTCTTTACTGGTTGTAGTGATACTCAGCTTAGGTTGTGCAAGATATTTAATGAATTTAATTTATTTCAAAAAACTTATATTCTGACTTTCTCTGAGTACTTTAGAAGCCAAATAATCTCAGGAAGAGTTGCAGTGAAAGTAGTAGTAACCTACCCTTTCTACTGTTTATTTCATCTGAAATAAAACGTTATGAGCCAAACATTTACCAAGTGAATTAAAGGCATAGCTGAAAATAGTGTCAGGGACTTAAAATGCCAAGTTCTTGCTTTCAACCATTAGATGATAGCTTTAAACTATAAAGAGACTCTCCAGGTTTCTTGTTTTCCTTCTTCAGTGAGAATGAACTTTGTAAAACTTTCCCATTTGAACAGCATGAGTTGCCATAGGCCCTCTGCAGCTGTGGCCTGTGAAGTGGAAAACAAAAACAGACAGAGGACAGAGGACTGGAGAACATATTATTCAAGAAGATAGTAACTATGTTAGGCTTCATTTCATCTTGAAATGAAAAGAAATGTTTGATGCATCAGAGGTGCAGAGTGGACTAAATGTTGTCTTGGGACCCCTTTCAACTACACCAATTCTTTGGTTTAGAACCATTTTTCAATAGGGAATCATGAGAGAAAAACAACAACTGTTTTTATAGAGCTTAAGAAAGGCAGTCTTACAGCATGTTTGCCAGCAGTATCAGGGGACCAGATTTAATTTCCTAGGAGAACCTGCCTCTTCTGTTTTCCAGTCTGCAACCAGGCTGTGAGACTGCAGTATAGCCAATCCTAATCTATTTGGCTGCCCTCATTTTGCAGCATTTACTATATTAATTGTCTGTGTCCACCTAATGAATTATACCACATAATTTTTAGTGAACAGTTTTTCTTCCTTTTAGTTTGATAGTATTTCTCCTGGGCTGTAATATCACAGCAGGCGACTACTGCCTGTGTTTTAATTTTTGAATGTTTCTCATCAGTTGGTTTCTTGCCTTTATCTGTCTTATAGCAGATATCACCCAAGACACTTCAGGATATTTTATCAGGACTTAGTATACTGAGTTCCCTGCTATTATTTCCAAACTAGCATTTTATAAAATAAAAATGATAAATCTTTTGATGCATATAAATATTTCAAAGAGAGAAAACCATGATGATATTTTAAAGATGCATCTCTTGCTGAAGTGCACTTAATACATGAAAATGGATGGCCAGAGAGTTAGGACTGAAGGCATTTTCATTGAATATAGAAAACCATAAATCATTGTGATGTAGGTGAACTAGACCACAGAGACTCATAAAGGTCAAAAAAATGAAGCTCAAAATCAAAATCTGGAGTCATAAGGACATGTTAAAGTCTTTGGGTTAATCAAAGTTCGTATAGAGTGATTGAAATTGTCTAATAAGAGGACCATCATCAGCCAAATTTGGGAGTAGCTAAAATCTAGTAATGAAAAGCTTAAGTGGATCACAAAACAGGTGTTAGTCTCATGTATGCAGGTGATACATGTGCTAGAGAAGGAACTGTGGAATTCTTTGGACTGTGCTAATATGACTCAGAGGACAAACATTTTCAGATTTTACAGCGTACTCAGAAAAGTTGTACATTTGTTTCAGAAAATTCTTCTTTTCCCCTGAGAAGCATAATCTCACTTGAATTTGCTTCAGGCCAGTAATAAAAGAATAACTTTTTAAACAAATTAACTGGAATGAGT